CTATAGAATCAATTAGCAGCTACGAATATGTTGATCAATCTACGCCCGAATTATTGATTTCATTTTTTGATAATTTTTTTTTCGAGTATCTTGTCTTTTTATACGCCCGTGCGTATTGGCGTATCGGTATGAACGCCCCTCCCTGGCTTTTGAAAAATATTTTAATAGAAAAAAGAATGTCATCTAATTTTGAAAGATCACTCACTTACTATAACACAGTTACAAGCACATTTGTATTACATTAGTATATTACTTTTGTGTATCTTCCATCAATTCATATCGTTATCTTGGCCTTTACCGCCCGCAACGACATAATGCAGTATTTGTTTGGTTTGTTTGTCTGGTTCATACGACGATTTCAACCCTTTCATATCATACCTAATCGGCTTTCCTAGCTAATTAACCGATAATTTCAAATTTACCCGCAAATGGCCGACTACTAGTACAACATGCTTTCTATATCAGCGTAGAGAAACAACTACGTGACCATATGACCGATGTCTGATATGTGGAAGTTGGACCTCTATATCATTGATCCAATGCCCACCCTTAGGAGATAAGAGCGAGAACACGACAGTCAACAGAAAGTTGTATGGGTCTGTAATTTTATACCACTCTGGCTGTAGCTGATTGACGAACCTAAAACTTATTCAAGGCATAATTATCGATGTGAAACAAGTTATGCCAAACCATCATTGACGGTTTATTTTCGGTTGTAGTATAAAATTTAATAATAAAACAAATGCTGATAATTTCCTTAAAATGACATGCACATAATTTTGGTTAGGTTGAAACGATATATTATGAAAAACCATAAAATATAAGGCGTACGTATTCACATACTTTCCTGCATTGTAGGCCATTTGGCCATTAATTTAAATAGCCCATACCTAAACCCTCCAAGGAAATAGATTTCCAAAAGAAATACTGACGGAATAGAACTTAATTGTCTTTGTTTAATTGTTTATATGTTTGTTTGTATGTTTGTTTGTTTGTGGAGTAAAATGTTTCGTTATAAAGTAGAAATTTATTATCTTAATTACGTCGCCTTAGTCTTTTTGTGAGCTAAACACCATTTTGACAAAAAATATATCGTTGGATTATTCTCAAAGAGAGCTATCTCCTTATATTTTTCATTCACATATTGCGCCGTCATCTTTTAGTGACCTTAGAAGGTTTTAAAACGTATCCCTGAAACACCATGACTGAGCAGCGGCTGACTGAAATAGCATTATGCATTAATTTAGTATCGACATTGACCAAAAGCTCAAGTGTCCTGTGTTTAAGTGGAGATAGATATTTTTTAAAAATCAAAATATCAAATGAGCTACATATATCCGGGTGAACGATTATGTGTCCGATAAAACTAATAACTCTATTCTAACTCGTTTTGAAGGAGGGACCAGCTCAACGTGATTTTCACGTGCAACCTTTTTTAAGCAACAGGACGTACAGAAGATCGGCCACTAATGGACGCGTCAAGACACGTCGCAGGCCGGCTATATTCGTAACACCCAGCTGTGCAATCGTTTCCAGTCGGTTTATAAGGGAATTGGGGAAGTATTCTTTATACATTTTAATATATCCTCATATAATTAAGTATTAATTGAATCACAAGAGAATATTTATCTTCTGTATATACTACTCAAAATTTGCGAAGGATCACTTTTTTCTATAGTGTGTTACTTTTGTGTACTTGAAATAAATGTGAAAATTGAATACAAGGAATTAAATATAATTAGTTATTAGTTAGGAATTGATTTTAATGAAAATGACAATGAAAGTTTCCTTGACGTGTGGTTGTTGAGAAAGATGTGCTGCAGAATGAAACTCGAGCCGACTACGCCAGGGTACGTGCGTACATGGACGTCTAAGATTTATTGATATACCTTACTGTCGTGAGTGTTCCGTGTTCAATGTGTAGGTCCGTTTTCCCCTGATCACCTATTCCCGCCCACACCATGACTGAACCCCGCCAAACTGTCGTGTTCTGCAACGCATGCTGGAGCCAAGCGTCCATTTGGACCTCTCCAAACCCTAGCCCGTCTGTCCGTGAAGTCCACACAAAACCTTCTTGACTCATCAGTGATGAAGACCGGGATCCAATCATTAACTGTCCATGTGACATGAGTGTGCGCCCATTGCAAACGCTCTTGAATATGGCGTTGTGTAAAAGGAATGCGACTTGCTGGTCTGCGTGACCTCAAACCAGCATCATGCAACCTGTTTCTAACAGTTTGTGTGCTTACACGTATACCAGTTGCATTCTGGAAGTTTTTGCGTAATGTCGTAGCGTTCGAAAACTGTTTGTGTTTGGCCTGAAGGACATAAATCGGTTCTGGAATTGAGTCGTTGAACGCTTCCGACCTCCGACTTGACCTTGCAAGACATTTCCAGTCATTTGGAATCGGTTCTACATCCTGGAGAGACAACGCTCCGGGATACCCCAAGGACATGGGCAACGTGCTTTTGTGAACGGCCAGGCCTCCATCAATTACAAACAACTCTTACAATATCCATGTTCATCACATCTTCATTAAGCCGACGTCTAACCTGTCGATTTGCCTACAATAAAACGAGAGAAGTCTTGCTGCTTGTACACGTTTAAGTGAAAGCACTGGCCATCAACACCCAAATTTTCCATGGTTTATGCTTTTCCAAGTGCTTATCATGCAAGGTGTACATGGCAAATCGATAACTTAAGGACACGATTATGAGGTTCCCGCTACGAAAATGATTTCAATATGATGATACTAGGACTGAAGTATACCAATGGTCAAAAAGGTGATTCTTAGCAAAGTTTGAGCGTATATTTGTTAAAATTATTTATGGTAAAAATTTCCCCTTTATGTATTTAAAATTAAAAAATTGTAATAAAATAAGGAGATCCCCGACCCTATTTAACCTATTTCGGGGAAATTAAAAAATGGATTCCATAAATGCATTTACAATAGGGGTCTTGAAAATGAAAAAAATCCCAGAAAAAACCCCTTGTTAAAAATTAAGAAACGTTGGGGTATTTAAAGTTTTGCCCAAAGTTTTGAATTTTTCCGGAAAGTTTTATGAAACGTTTTTTCCCTTTTTTTGCAATGTGCAAGCACAGGTGCAGATGTGCCAGTTAAGGTGTTTCACACATTTTTTTCGTATGAAAAAAGACCGTTCTTTTTAAAATTTTTTTAACAATAAAAAATTGAAAATCTTTAAAAAAGGCTTTTACACGCCTTTGAATGTCTCTCACAACTTAGAATTAGTCCGGAAGGTATGGTAGAAGCCCGTTAGAACCCCACAAAAGACATGCCGTTTTTTGTGATGCAATGCCCTAAAGACAAGCATCATTTGGGTAAAAAAAGCAGGCTTATAAAACATCTTAGTGCCCAATTTATAAAAGGGTATTAAAAATAGAATTACTGCAATCTAAAAGCCAAAAGTACTTAAAAATTGTTATTACTTAAAAGGGGAAACATAAGACAAAATGATAAACTAGATTTTCTTTCTCTGGATTATATAAAAACGACCCTAAAAAAAAGAAAACCGAAAAATTTAAATGTTCAGGTTCGGGGTTTTTTATTAACTTTTTCAGGAAGTACTGGAAAATGGCAAAAATTTTTGTCCACGCCACCCTAGCCCGGGTTAAGCAGAATTCAACATTTAACATGAACTGGCACAATTTTGAATTTTGAAACATTCGCAGATGTTTAGTCGAGAAACTCGTGCACGTAAGATTAAGCATTGCTTAATAACTTTAACAACTAAGGTTGTGATAATTGTGATAATTGTTAATAAAAAGGTTCTTAGAAGGAGTTCTTATCTTACAGGCTTAATGAGTCTTGGCTAAATGGTCCTACTTATATTTAAAAGTAGCACTTTCAAAACGATTTTTATTTAAATTGCTTGTAGAAAACATACCTGTTACAAAGAACCACCTACCTTCTACTGTATTTATATTACAAGAGACAATATATTGACATGTTGCAGTTTTACACTTTAAAATAGTATTCGAATTTCAAGGTTCTATACAGTATCTGGTTGTTTAATAAAAAAGATATGGCTACATCTCATTTTACATTTAGAGATAGAATATAAAACTTAACAGCGTACTTATTTTCAAAATTGTAATTCGAATACATATGTATGAATTTCAGAGACATTTTTCTTCAATATTGAAAATAAATATTCAAGATTATTTACTATAAATACAGGATTTATTTTCATCTAGTGGTATGAAAATATGTATAACACGATTATTTGCCTATCACAAGAAGATTTATAATTATTTTTGACCTTACGTCTCGAAAGACTATCCCTTTAACCGTGTGTTTTAGCTGAATTTAAAAAAGGCAACCTTGAAGAAACAGAAATTATGTTTCACCGCAGTAAAAATAAAATTGCAACGGTCTGTTGTGACGGTATGATAACTACTGTAACAATAAGAATTTAAAAATTCTCATAAAAATAGATAAATCGATAGGTAAATAAGGACCAGCCAAATATAAGAGCAAAAATTGCTGTCTTTAAAAACATGTATATCTAAGACTACTTGCTTTTACTTTTAACATTCTTTTGTCTTTTCTGCTTTTTTTTTTCTTTTTTTCTTTTTATTCTCTAGTTCTCCAATATTACCCAAGAAAATCAATTTTAGTTACTTTCTTCTTCCCAGTACATATGTCTTCTACCTCAACCATGATTTCCGTCCCCCCAAATAACATAGATAGATAGAACACTTCTTTTACTTGTATTACTCTCCTCATCAAACTCTATCTCTAGTTCTCCTATCTTAAAGCATCCGTCATCATCAATTCAAACGGGGTCTTCTCTATCTGAAGCATAGAGGGTAAACAGCATAGCCTTCTGATCACGTGAAAGTGTAAGATATGTTTCCTTTACTTGTGTTTTACCCGTTTTCACTGTTTGCCCAACTGTAACAAGTTTGCTGAAAATATCACGACATCTAATACTATTGTCTTTGTCTTCAAATCGTTTGCTCTCTGGATGAACTCCCTCTATAAAATTGGTGTGTGACTAGTGCCGTATGTATATTTGAGAATCCTTTTACTTATTGATTCAGGGTTATGACCATATATTAGAGCACCTCTTAATATGACTGATGAAGCGCCAACAGGTATCACGACCTTTAAACCAGGCAATGCTTCTGTTACTGCGTGTTGTAATACGGGCGATTCAGAATAACCACCTACCATCAGTAAAACTCTTACATCTTTCAGTGTGCCGTCGGATAACACTGACTTCAGATGACCAACCGTTTTTGACACTGACGTGTCGAATAGTTGAACAAAGACCTTGTAAGAAATCTTCAACTTATCCCTTTTAAGATCAATTAGACCTGCATACTGAGACGATGCTAATGAAGTACAGAGGTCAAGTTGTGAGTATTGATTGTAAAGATCAATTAGAGATGCATGTATTCTAATTCCTAATTTCCCCTCACTGTCTTCAGTCGTTTCACGTTTCCGTGACTCGAAGTCTCGTTGCATGTCAAGCCAATCCTCCTTTTCTTCATGTTTGAATTTCTCAAAAACAGTTTGTCCTACTAAACGTATGAGCAAATTTTCAAATTCCTTGTCAATCATTATACTTCCCAAATCACCACCACTTGCAGGTCTTATTTCTCTCAATGTATGCGCACTGC